ATAAAAAGTAATGACTAAAGTCATAGTGGCCAGAGCTAAAATAAAAAGTAATGACGGGAGTCATAGTGGCCAGAGCCGAAATAAAAAGTAATGACCAGAGTCATAGTGGCCGGAGCCGAAGTAAGACGAGTGACACTGGGTCACTGTGGCTGGAGCTTAAGTGAAATGTGTGACACTGGGTCACTGTGGCAAGAACCGAAGTAAAATATGTGATGCTGGGTCACTGTGGCCGAAGCCGAAGTGACAAGTATGACATAAGATATCAAGTCGGTTACCGAAGTAAAACACTTACAAAAATTTATAATTTATAAAAGTGAGCAAGAGTATTGAAATGGGCTTAAGTGGGCCCATCTGATAAGTCTAACAAAGAGGCAGTACGTGATGTGATAGCTGTCCTCTGAAAGACGTGCGTAATAAATGCGGCTGTAAAAAGATACCTACAACAGTTAAACAAGCGGATTTTTAAAAAACAAATCGTCGAGTTCGAAACGATGCCATTTGGTGTTAATTGTCAAATTCGAAACGGTGTCTTTGTAGCCGTTAGATGGAGTTAATCACAACCGTTGAGGCATATTTTTCCTTTGGTATAAAAGGCAATACTTTTGTAAAAAAGGGTTTTTACTTTCGCTATTTTGCTACCAAATTCTTGCTAAATCTCTGCGGTTTCGTGCGGTCTGTGCTTCGTTTGAGACTTCAACAATAGTTTCACAAGACCAAAATCAGGTAAAATTTATGAATTTCTGATTTTGATTTTACCGAAGTGTCATTCTCCTTTCTCCTTTTTTGTTTTTTATTTTTGGTCTTTTGAAGGAAGTTAGGGTTGGGAGTGAGAATGTTATTGAGTGTGTGTTAGAATTTTTTAAGGGTCCTGACTCCATTCCTCCTCCTACTTTATGTAGAAATTGAGGAGATGTCTTCAGAAGGGACAATGAGTGTAGTAGGGAGTGAGGTGATGCCCCTGGAGTATGGTGGCATGGACTTGGAGAGTAGTCCATTTCCATCTAGTTCGGAGAGGACAGTGGAGGAAAGGAGGGAGCGGGGGGTAGTGGAAGAGGAGGAAGAGGAAATTCCCTCAAATATAATGGAGGTTGAGGGTAACGTGGGTAGGTGTTATGACCCAGAATTAAACATAGTGTCTGAGGTGAGGGGGTATGTGAGTGAATTGAGTAATAGGAGTAGCCTTAGGGGGCTAGTAAATAATTGTAACCTTCTTCACCATGTGTTAATTAGGCCTGCTGAGGTGAATGAGAGAGCATGCTCCACACCCTGAGACCATTGGATGCCCATGTATGTCCATTATTTGGTTGCAGGGCTTAGGTTTCCCATTCCAGAATTACTAGTTGGGTTATTATTAGATTATAGTATAGGAATAACCCAATTAACCCCAAATGTTATAAGAGTAATAATAGGCTTTATAGTATATTGTCGAGCTCGGGGGGCTGGGGTCCCTACCGTAAATATGTTTAAACATTTCTTTATAATAAAGGCTGGGGGTAAGGGTGAGAAGGGGTGGTACTACTTCGGCCCTCGGTCGTCCAGCAAAGAGAATAGGAGTTTATTCACTGCTGGACCGTCATCCATTAAATGATGGAAAGAAAAATTCTTCTTTGTGGATGACACCGAGTGGAGCAGGAGGGATGTCGAAGTAGAACAATTGTTTGCTTGGAAAGCTAAGAAAACCAAGCAGAACAATTATAAGTTGAATGAGGATGAAGCAGAAGAAGTAGGGAAGCTGGTGAGGGAAAAAGGGGAGTTAGTGGATATCATGTACCTCACCAGTGCAGAGGCGATAAAAGCTACCGAGCTCTATGGGTCAAGCTCATTGAGCGAAGGTTTGTTTATTGTTGTTTTGTGCAATTTAGTTGAGATTTCGATTGGTGTGTTTTGACATTTGTGTTTGTTTTGCAGCTGAGATTGATGGCTTTCTGAACGCTGTTGGGGGGCTAGCTATCCCAAAGAAGCCAAAGAAGAAGTCAAAGACTTCAACTGTGGCAAAAAAGGGGGCGGCAGAAAAGGAGCGGCTGTCTAGCACTTCTACCTAGGTTCTGGAGATGCAGCAAAGGCCAGAGCCTATGAGGAAAAGTAGTGAGGAAGTGAGTGAAGAGGTGGTGCCACTCCACAGGAAGAAGATGAAGGTGGCAGAGCCAGAAGCTAGGGGGGATAAGGTGGTTGAGTTCATGCCTCGACCT